TGTGTCCATTGGTTATGATCAATAAAGAAAGAAAAAAATAAATAAAATATATGTATATACAGTATGTCCACTTAGTGCTTTGTCTCTCTATACATACATTAAGAATACACATAAATACAGATGGTATTTACAGAGATTAACTTTTGAGTGTCTGTAAACTAAGTTTCTACATTACTTCTCTGGAAACCTCGATTTCTTTCTTTCTTTCTTTCTTTCTTTAAATAACTTAAATGCTGTGAGGTCCCTCACACAATTCCTTAACCATTAACTAAATCCTCTACCACCAAGCAATTAAAAATCATAGAAGAGTTTAAAGTGTGAAATATCACACTTGGGAAAAGACAATATTGATGTCCATTTGACACAACTGTTAGCATTTTTATTATAAACCTGTTTTTAAGAGTACAATCAGTAATTACTCCTAATACTCTAGCAGCCATAATACATTTGATTACAGAAATTATTAGGTCACCAGAGCCAAAGCTGCATGATTCTGACAAAATTAAGCACACACCAAATAGATTAAAAATAAAAAGGTAGTGACATTTCAATGCCTCCACAGACTGTGTGTTAATCCATATTCAAATGCAAAATTTTATAATCTTTTCAGATGACATGCTACCAGGTGTCACTCTCATTAATTTCCACTTGAACCTTAATCTAATTTATCCTACCGGGACTTTAAAAGGAAACAACTTATAGGCTCTTTAAGTTACTATATTAATTTTGTCCCTCTATCTTATTACAAAAAAGACCAGTTTGAAAAAGTTACAAGGTATTCCAAAATCTCAGCAAACTGACTCTCATTTTACACATCACTCTCCCTACTTCTCTAATAATCAAGAGATGCTTGAACTCACAAAGGCCTAATAGCATATACAGAAAATGCTAGTAAACCCAAAGACAGATTATCACCTAGAACAGTGGTTCTCTACCTTCCTAATGCCGCTACCCTTTAATACAGTTCCTCATGTTGTGGTGACCCCCAATTTCATTGTTACAAATTGAACATAATTAAACCATAGTGATTAATCACAAAAACAACATATAATTAATATGTGTTTTCCGATGGTCTTAGGCGACCCCTGTGAAAGGGTCGTTCGACCCCCAAAGGGGTTGCGACCCACAGGTTGAGAACTGCTGACCTAGAATATTTCATTCTGCCAGTGCTGATAATTATCACCAATGTTGTAACAATCCTTTTTATTTTAGGAAATAATCTCTGTAAGTTGCTTTGAATCTTCTTCTAGAATAAGATTTCCAGAGAGCAACTATATCACTATCATTTCTCATTAACCTCACATTACTTTAAAGGTCCACTTTCCAGTTTTTATTATTTGTGAGAAGGAGCAAAGGGGAAAGTAGAAACCAAGAATTTAAATCGCATATACTTATTTCAAGATTTATCTGAAATTCTTTGTTTTTTCAGTGGGGAAAGCAGGTTTTTTTATAGTTTATTTATTAAGATTTGTTATTGTTATATTTTATACAACAGAAAAATAAAAACTGAGTTTAAACTCCCTATTAAAAATACACCTAAATGAAAATACTGCCCTTAAAGTACAGTGGATTAAGGGAGCGGGGTAGATCACTGGACAAATTTGGGGCTTATCATTATCAACAGTGCCCTTTTAAGCTTGTGGATTTCTGATCCAATGCAGAAAATGTAACAACAGGGATTTCCCACCAGCAAGAGGCACTCTCCAAGGGAGTAAATTGTCAACTATTGCCTCTTGTGAGAAACTTAAGAGTAACCTTGATCCAATCTCAATACTCAACCCATGTATTATCACCCAGTTGGGGCATAGTGAGTGCATTTCCTAATACAAAAATAAGATTGTACTCTAGCAGAAGCCACTGGATACATATACAGAAATAAAATTTAAATAATTTTAAAATAAACTTAGCCTAAGAAATTGAAACATCCTTCCTTCACTTCAACTAGCCCCTAAAACACTTAAATCTTCTCATGTAAAAAAGACCCGTGTCTTGAAATGAGTACCAAAAAAGATGACCTTCCAGGAATAAGAGGTAGAATATAAAGCAGAAGCACAGTTATGAAAGACACCCTGAGATGGGGCAGAAAACCCTAATGACATAAAAGCCTTACAGTCAGGAAGATAGAGATTCCAATTCAAAATAGTTACTTATTAGGCTGCACCTCTTTGAGTTGATCTTTCTCATCTGCAAAATGGAAACATTATTATCTGTATTCAATGGATTCTTGTGGGGTTTTTTTTAAATATATTTTATTGATTTTTTACAGAGAGGAAGGGAGAGGGATAGAGAGTTAGAAACATCGATGAGAGAGAAACATCAATCAGCTGCCTCCTGCACGCTCCCTACTGGGGATGTGCCCGCAACCAAGGTACATGCCCTTGACCGGAATCGAACCTGGGACCTTTCAGTACGCAGGCCGACGCTCTATCCACTGAGCCAAACCGGTTAGGGCGATTCTTGTGGGTTTTAATGAAATAATACATCCAAAAACTCACATGTTGCCGGTGTCCAATACATGTTTTGCCCTTCCTCCCTGGGCCCTAAGCCAAGTCTCTGATATAGGACTGTCAACACAAGAGCAGCCCTGAACATCCTGTTTGTTTCATACCATCTAGATCTGTGCTACCCACCATAACAGCCACTGGCACATGTGGCTATTTAAAGTTAAATTTATTATAATTATAATGAAATAAAACTCAAAATTCAGTTCTTCAGCTAGGTCGCACTAGCCGAAGGTAAGTGCTCACTAGCCACTGTGGCTGGCAACTATTGCATTGCATAGTGCAGATGGAGAACATTTTTATCATCTCAAAGTTCTATTGAACAGTGCTGGTCTAGACTCTGAAGCAGGGTAGGCAAACTTTGTTTTTCTGAAAAGGGCCAGAGGGCTCAGTGGATAGGATAGAACATCAGCCTGTGCACCCAAAGGTCACAGGTTCAATTCCCAGTCAAGGGTATGGTCAAGGGCAGGTACCTAGGTTGCAGGTTTGATAGGGGTGAGTGTGGGAGACAACCAATCGATGTATCTCTCTCACATCAATGTTTCTCTCTCTCTCTTTCTTTCTCTCTCTCTCCTCCCTTCCTCCCTTCCACTTTCTCTAAAAATCAATGGAAAAAAATACCCTCAGGTGAGGTTAACAAAAAATAAAAAAAAAGGAGCCAGAAAGTAAATATCTTTGGCTTTGTGGGCCTTGTAAGTCTCTATCTTGACTACTCAACTCTGCTGATGTAACACAAAAGCAGCCATAGACAATACATAAACGAATGAGCATGGCTCATCCAATAAAACTTTACAAAATTAGATGGCAAGCTGGATTTGGGCCATGGGCCGTAGTTTTCCAACCCCTACTCTAGAGTATTCTGATTCCAGAATCCCAACACAAGCCTTCTATCCATAGCAACTAAGTACCTTCTTAAGACTGATAGTCTTAAATTCACTGACTGGAATCAATAGTTTACTATAGTTAAAAGGAATTAATACTTAATGTAACTATTCTTTTGCAAATAAAGAAAAACCCATTCACTCAGTGCTAACGCAGATGGAGCTTATAGTTTCTACAAAGTGAAAGTACCTCAAATCTCTTTGTTATCTGGCCCATCTTTCTAAAGCCAATAAATCTCTGCCAGAGGGGATGGGGGTTGGAAGACTGGATGAAAAGTGAAGGGATTAAGCAAAAACAAAAACAAAAAAACATATGTGTATATAACACAGAGACATAGACAACAGTGTGGTGATAGCCAGAGGGAAAGGGGGATGAGGGCTAGGTGGCGATGGGCAAGGAGGGGAAAAATGGGGACAGAAAAAGACTTTGCTTGAGGCTATGGGCGCACGATACAGTGTACAGGTGATGTTTTATTGAGTTGTACACTTGAAACCTGTATGGTTTTGCAAACCAATGTCATCCCAATAAATTCAAAAAATAAAATAAAGCCAATAACTCTCAATCTATAACTTGAGTCTTGATATATTCCTGGAATGCTGGAATTCTATATCCAACTGACTACTTACTTAATATGCCTAGAGATCTTTATAAATCTCAAAGGTAACAGAGCCAAGACAGAACTCTTAATCCCTCTCCCCTAGATTACTCCATCTTAGGAAATGGGTCCACTAGCTAACCAGCTAGAAGACAAAAACGAAGGCATTCTCCTTGATCTCTTCCTTTCCCCTACACACTGAGCTAACACGCCAGAAAAAAACTAGCTCCCTTAGGTCACTTAGGCCTCATTCTTGTTACCTGCTAAAGAAGCCTTCCCTAATCAATCTAAACTAGCCATCTTAACAGCCACCTTATTTTATTACCTGCACAGCATTTACTTCTATCACAGTCTCTTAGTCATTTTTGTATTTATTTATTCACTTATATACAGTCTGTTTTCCCAAACTATCCTCTCCCCATCAAAGTCCCCACCACATGCCCCTTAACACCCCCTGCCCTGGTAGAATGTAAGCCTCAGGATGTAGGGACCTTTTATATCTTGCTCGACACTCTACCCCAGTGCCTAGAACAATGTCTGGCACATAGTAGACATTCAATCACACACACA